AGAAAGAAAGAAAGAAAGAAAGAAAGAAAGAAAGAAAGAAAGAAAGAGAGAGAAAGAAAGAGGGAGGGAGGGAGGGAGGGAGGGAGGGAGGGAGGAAGGAAGGAAGGAAGGAAGGAAGGAAGAAAGAAAGAAAGAAAGAAAGGAAGAAAGGAAGAAAGAAAGAAAGGAAGGAAGGAAGGAAGGAAGGAAGGAAGAAAGGAAGAAAGGAAGAAAGAAAGAAAGAAAGAAAGGAAGGAAGGAAGGAAGGAAGAAAGAAAGAAAGAAAGGAAGAAAGGAAGAAAGGAATAAAGGAAGAAAGAAAGAAAGAAAGGAAGGAAGGAAGGAAGGAAGGAAGGAAGGAAGAAAGAAAGAAAGAAAGGAAGGAAGAAAGGAAGAAAGAAAGAAAGAAAGAAAGAAAGAAAGGAAGGAAGGAAGGAAGGAAGGAAGGAAGAAAGAAAGAAAGAAAGAAAGGAAGGAAGAAAGGAAGAAAGAAAGAAAGAAAGAAAGGAAGGAAGGAAGGAAGGAAGAAAGAAAGAAAGAAAGGAAGGAAGAAAGGAAGAAAGAAAGAAAGGAAGGAAGGAAGGAAGGAAGAAAGAAAGAAAGAAAGAAAGAAAGAAAGAAAGAAAGAAAGGAAGAAAGAAAGGAAGAAAGGAAGAAAGAAAGGAAGGAAGGAAGGAAGGAAGAAAGGAAGGAAGGAAGGAAGGAAGAAAGAAAGGAAGAAAGAAAGAAAGGAAGAAAGGAAGAAAGGAAGGAAGGAAGGAAGGAAGGAAGGAAGAAAGAAAGAAGGAAGAAAGGAAGGAAGGAAGGGAAAGAGAGAGAGAGAAAGAGAGAAAGAAAGGGAGAGAGAAAGAGAGAGAGAGAGAAAGAAAGAAAGAAAGAGAGAAAGAGAAAGAGAGAGAAAGAGAGAAAGAAAGAAAGAGAGAAAGAGAGAGAAAGAAAGAAAGAAAGAAAGAGAGAAAGAGAGAAAGAAAGAGAGAAAGAAAGAAAGAAAGAGAGAGAGAGAAAGAAAGAGAGAGAAAGAAAGAAAGAGAGAGAAAGAAAGAAAGAAAGAAAGAAAGAAAGAGAGAGAGAAAGAAAGAAAGAAAGAGAGAGAAAAAGAAAGAAAGAGTGAGAAAGAAAGAGAAAGAGAGAAAGAAAGAAAGAGAGAAAGAAAGAAAGAGAGAGAGAAAGAAAGAAAGAGAGAAAGAAAGAAAGAGAGAAAGAGAGAAAGAAAGAGAGAGAGAAAGAGAGAAAGAAAGAAAGAAAGAGAGAGAGAAAGAGAGAAAGAAAGAAAGAAAGAAAGAAAGAAAGAAAGAAAGAAAGAAAGAAAGAAAGAAAGAAAGAAAGAAATGTTTAAAAAGATCCTGTTCTGGAGCTGTCTACGCTCTATTCAGGGAGAGGCCGAGTGTCACTCACTGTAATAGAGAAGTTGAAACTGTGTGTCAAGGAGAAGGAATGCCAGAAGAGCTGAATTCCCTCAAACCCTCATGTCTCATTCCGCTTCCTCTGTGTCCTCTTGCTTTTGTTTTGTTTTCCACTCCTCTGAGCCCTGAAGTAACTCATTCTTTTCTCTCCTTATTTGCTGTTCATAGTTTTCACACATGTTTAGTGTCTAGTTCTCCCTGTTGGTCAGCTCCCTGGGCAGGGGCCACTGCAAGATGAAGACTGGGAAAATTAACACAGAAGGCCACACTGATCTGCTGAGTTAAAGAGACCACCATCAGAAACTGCCCCTGGGGCAGCCCCATCAAGTATAGATGTTTGCTGAGTGTAGTCTGAACTATGCGGTGATTTTTATCTGTCTCTTCCACATTTTAACCGCAACAGACTTGAAGGAAATGACTCTTTAAAAACATAGCATCATCCTTCTCACAGGGTGACAGCATGACAGTCTTGACGAAAAGATTCCCAAAGTTAGAATCTATGCTGACAATTCAAGACCAGGTCATACACACGTCTGGAGAGATGGCACGGGGATTAAGGGCTCTTGCTGCTCTTGCAGAGGACCAGCATGTGGTTCCCAGAACCTGTCACTCCAGCTCAAGGGCGTACAACAAACACTTCAGGTCTCGGGGGCCACCTGAACTCACATGCACATGTCCACAAACAGACACACGTGAATACACATTAATTACAAACCAAATTAAATCCTAAAGAAGAAAACAAGACAAGTGCGAACAGCCACCCACCTGGATAAGCCATGAGTGGCGATGTTCTCCTCAAGAGGTGTGTTCAGAACCAGGTAATGCTTCACTGTATCATAAGTGGTTAAATCTGGCAAAGGAGAAAGGGTTGAGTATTCGTTCACTCGGCAGTGAATGTCTTCAGTGTCAAAAACATGCTGGGCTTGGGGCCGGACTGTGTGCCAGAATGAAAGACACCATTCTTGTTTTTAATCAGAAGCAGGCCAAGCTACAAACAGAATGGGCACTCATTGTATCTAGCTATGCTCATATTACCCTCTGGAATTTTTTGGGCTTTGGACTGAGAAATTCCTGCCTGAGACTAAGTTAGACTGACCATTAAGTTAGATGCTGACCATTAAACAGATCTTGGTCACTGTTTTACACTAAGCCTGTTCTGTCTTCTTCTAGTGATAATAAGAAACTATTTAAAACAGGAAAGCTATACCACAGTGCTGAGGTTTTATGAGGGGAACCCACACTGAAGTATAGACAAATGGATGATAATGGGGTGAGAATGGACTGGCATGTTTGAGGGTAGAGACACAGTGTGAATGGTACCTTTCTAGAACTTGGGGTAAGAGTCGTTGGAAAGATGAGCTTCTCTGCTCCCTGATGGCAGATGAAACAGCAAGCAAAACAAACTACTGGTTATCTAGATGTCAGTGCGTTTTAAAGTAAGAACTCTGCAGACAAGCAGGAAAGGAAGAGGGAACCAAAAGAATGGACTATGTGATGGATTTTGACGTTTGGGTGAAAAGGAAGGTCTCTTGCTAAAATGACACCTAGCAGACACCCAAAGGAAGCATAGAAAAATAACTGTTTAGATAGTCGAAAGAAAGTGCCCCTAATGCAAGGGAAACATTTGCCATGAGGCAGGACTTGGCTTGGGTTGTGAATGATTATGTAGAAGACTGGTATAACAGAGCAGGTGTGGGAGACAGAGAACTGTAGGAGCCAGCTCTGGGTCAGGCTACTGTGGAGAGGATCAGAGATCAGACTGTAGGAAGACAAGGGGACTGGATATGAGACCATCATGCTAATCCCAGTAAGAGATGATGCTGGCTCAATAAAGGTATTGTGGAACCCTGCTCAGCCTCTGGATAAATTCTGAAAGCAGAAATAGCCAGCAGGTTGAATATAGAGAAAGAAAGAAAAGATGAAGGCAGTGTTCTAAGTGTGAACAATTTAAGGGGAAACAGAAAGCTTTTATTTTTGGAGATAAAGGTGGAAACAGACAGCTTTTATGTGTTTTTATAAGACAGCAGCAATGATCACCTTTGTAAAGCCAGTTCAGGGGCAGCAGGACAAAGTGGCTATGTGGTACCTACAAAGGGACCATTGAGGAGGCTTCTGTAGTATCTGTGGAGAATGCAATAAGTCATGTATGAACATAGAAGCTCCAGGATAAGAAGACAGAATTCACTGCATGCAGAGACTAATCAGCACAAGGGACCAGGAACGACAAAACTCATACCCAAATACCAAAACAGACTGTGGAGTATTTTGAGACGATGGAGAATGAAGAAGAAAGTGGTTTGATAATCAAGTTTGGTTTAAATATGTTCAAAGTGATACTATAGAGACAGCCAAAGGAAGACCCGAGAGAGCAAGTGGAACTTGGGAGAAGGTAAGGCTGTGATAAAACCTGAAGGCACAAATCGAGACACTACAGCCACAAGGATTTCCTGGGGGAGGAATTAACCACTAATGAGACACAGCAGACATACCTGGAGTGACACAGAAAACCATTAACTATCAGTCCCTTAGAGTCATATCATCCATCTTAGAAATGATTCCTTCACCCACAAAGCCCTGAACATTTGATGAGTCTATATGAAAAACTAGAGGGAAAAAAAAAGATGAGTCAAACCATGCACATTGCCTTCAAGGTAGTGGAAGATAACTGCACAGAATTGTGATGACATGGAAGAGCACATCTAACAGGACCAGGTACGGGGAGGGGTTGTGAGAGGTTTGGGAATAACACATGGGCACATAGCCCATAGCTGAGTATTAAAGGGATGCGTAGAAGAAAACCGAACGCAAGAGGGGCAAGACCCGCAGCAGAGAGGTGAGGAACAGCTTTGTACATGGAGGGATGGGGTCTCTCAGCTAATGGCTTTGGTGAACTGCTCAGGCAGCTGACTGTGGTATCCTACATCAGGTTACAAACTATCCACTTTGTTATCTAACGAGAGGCCACTGGCAGGACACCAAGGGCATGTTGGATCAGTGATTTAGATAAGTCTCTCTGGACAGCTAAGCTACACAACTTTGAGGACGAGGGAAGAGGCCAGTTAGAGGGCTGTGGCAGAGGGCAAGCTGGGAGGTTACTGAAGTGGCAGGTATTGTGGTTGGCAATGGGCCTAAGATGATTTCAGAAGATGGAGGTAGCTGTTAGCCTTTCCATCTACGTTCCGAGAAGGCTGTGCATATATACAGGAAATGGCCATCCTCAGAGATGAAAACCTAGGCTGACAGGGACGCACCTTTCATTTCTGTGCCCTAAATTCTGTTTTCTCAACAAGAAAGACAAGCTGCTTCTTTAGTGTTTACTGTTGCTTGTATTCCAATTCTTGTGAAGACTGTATGTTCATTTTGGTGAGTAAACATGGCTAGAATAACAGTAACCATGGTGTAGACATTCCCACTGTATGTCTAAAACATAGACATTGCCAATTTCAGAACTATGTGTCTAGTGGTGAAATTGCCATTAGCCTTTTGAAGCTATGACCGCTATTTCCATATATTTTTATCTGTTTTAGATTTTGAAGTTATAAATTTAGGCATATACATTTAAAATAATGACTCTTCTTAGGGAAGGCCATATCTAACTTTTCAAGGTATCTGTCAACATATTATTTGGTTTTAAAATGGCTTCCCTCTCATATATTCTCTAATAGTGTAACTGGTAGCCTCACTAGTAAGGTATTACCATATTAATAACATTTCCTAAATAAGAATATTCATCTGATATATCTTAATTTTTTTTTTACATAGGTCTAATTTTATGATTCAGGCTGGCCTTGAACTCATGATCCTCCCAGCTCAGCCTTAAAAAAAATATCTTTTCTCGATTCCCTGACCAATTGAAACTTTCTGGTTATGTTAATTAAAAAAAAGAAACTAATAAGTAAAAATGAGAAGTGAGGGGTAGAGATTGTTTGTGTGAGGAATGCTCCCATTTCCAGGCTGCACGCCATGCAGTTCAGGAGCAATGCCAAAGGAGCAGGGGCAGAGGCTTAGGAAGAGAGTTGGGCATCTGGGCAGAGTGACTGTCTGCCAATTGGTTCCACTGTTTTCATCCCAGAGGGCAACCTGGACTGGGGCAGGAGGTCTTAGAAACAATTTGCTCTTAATTCCTTATGGGAACAATTTTCCTGCCTTTGGTCCTTTTCATACATGACCGACTGAGGTGAAAATGCTCCAGGATAAAAACATTCGGTTACCATTGCTGATTCCTGTTACTGAAAAACCAAACCATGCCTTCCACACCCTGATGCCAGGGCTCGTTGACTATGGCCGAGAGATTAAAGAAGCTTTCCGTTACCTCCCATATTCACAAGCGCTGCTCTTTGAATATTGGGTACCCAGCCTGCCCACAGCCCACGTACTCCTCCTTCGGCTAGGATTTTTGCAAACGCATGATGTACTCCACGGAATCTAAGAACAGTAACAGAGAAATGTTATTCTGTGTAGCCTTGTGTTTGGAAGGCAGATGTGGAAAGTTCACTTTCAGCTGAGACCGCTGGAGCAGCGGCCAAAGGAACGAACAATGCTCCAGGAGAGAAGGAAGAAGGCCTTTTGCCTCAGGTGTGTTTTTGTTCTGCACTGTTCTTGAATGCAATGTTGTGCCTCCTGTGACGAATACATGGCTTCAATTTACATGTTTATTTTTGATGGATGTCAGAACATAGCTATAGAACCCAATCTGGTGAAAGGACATGCTGAGTGCTGTCCTTTATGTATTCTGAATCGAGAGATAAGGCCTTCTGCCCTGCTTTCCCAGATACAATCTATAGTATGTTCCAGGCGATTGTGTTGAAATTGTTCTGTCCTGAGAAAGTGTGGGAAAGGGTAGCTCTGTTAATGTTCAGTTTGTGCAGTGTTCCATGGTGAATGATCAAGGAAGGCCTCAGCCCTTCTCATTAAAGTCCAGCTCAGCAAGAGACAGAGTGTTCCCAGGAGCAGACCTCTTCAGATTCCACTCAAATAGCCAGCACTTTCCCTCTTTCCTGAGAGGGATGGGAGTCTGTCTTTCAGAGCTCGACCTTCCCCAGGAGAAACAAGCTATGAGAAATTAGCAATGTTGACCTTTCTACATTCTTTGCAAGAGCAAAGGCAAGTGTTTTAGCGACAGTGGTGTTAACCATCAAGAATCCCCTTTAAAGAGGAACATACTGAGACTGTGTGTTAAGTGACTTCCAAGATACCAGCCCACAGTGACAGAGTCAGGGCTTAAAACAGGGCACATGATCAAATTCATCACTCTCCATCCTTTTGAACCATAGTATCATCTTTAGACCAAACTAGCCTTGAGTTCATGATGAACTACAGGTTGGCCTCAAACTCTCAGCAATTCTACCCAGCCTCCTGTGTGCTCAGATGACAGCTCTGAATGGCAAGGCCCTACTTTCTAAATTCTTTACACCAACTCGGGACAGGAGGCTAGTCTAATATTAGGAGAAGGAACAAAGAGTTGCAAACACATATAGTTTGCCTAGCCCAGAGTGCGCACACATCTGTATGCACAAGAACGATTTGGGCTAGCTCTGCTCTTCACAAATGTAACCAAGGAGAAGAATCGGTGTTAATTTCTTTAGTGAAGATTAGATTACAAAGCTGAGAGTGAATTAGACAAATGTCCAAGAAACAAGGGACTGAAAACGGGGAAGGAGAGGTAACTGTTTCCTGGATGACTCACCTCAGTGGCTTCCCTTCCAGCTTCCGTTTTCCTTCCATTTGCATCTGAACCTTCACCAAGTCAGTGGGGTTGGCTAGAAACTGTCCAATGACACCAGCCATCATCCCTCCAATGACCGACTTCCTAATTTGCAAAAGGAGATAATTTTTTTTTTTAATACTGGCCACTAATTTCACAGATTTCACAAGGGAATCACACCAACCTTGCAGAGGCCCTGGTTAAAGACAGAGTAAAGGTTAAAGATAGAATAAAGGGTGACACAAAGGACAGAAAAGCAGGCAGTCTGAGTGGTGGCTTGTGGTTGGGTCCAGGGATCAAAAGGATCAAAAGTAGAGGGAAAATATGAAATCCTTCCAACTGAATCCAAACAAACAAAAAAGGAAGATGGCTTCCAAGGGAAGGATATTTGAACTGATCAGTTCTCTGCAGCTGGCATCGAAACAGCAGAGATGCAGTCAGCCTAGGAGGCAAAGGTCACAATTTTAACTGGTTTTCCAAATGACAGGCTTTTCAGCATTCCTCTCTCTGAGGAAACGTGTCTGCGGGTCAAAGCTCCTTTACCCCCAGCCAACAGTGAGCAGGACTGAACCCTAACAATTACACAGCTGCATCCCCAAATCACACATTATAGGCAGTGCTTGTTGAAAGGCTCTATCATTTTACAGTCTCACAACAACTTAGAGGGAGTTTAAATTAGTTTATTAGTGATGCAACTTTTCACATGTGTAACACACATTTATATTTCTTCGGGGAGCTATGTTTCCCAACACCTTTCCCTTGTTTTTTTTTTCGGGGTGCTTTTTGTTGCTTAATGGTGCTATGAGCATACTTTTAAGACAAACTACTTCAAAATCTCTCTCTGTGTGTGTATGTGTGCATATGTTGCCTGAAGGAACTAGAAGAAGGCATCAGAGAAGGCTCCTTGGAGCTAGAGTTATAGGAGGTTATAAACTGCCTATTAGGGGTGCTGAGATCTGAACTCTGGTCCTCTAGAAAAACAGAAAATGCTCTTAACTGTTGAGCATCTCTCCAGCCCATGTGAACTACACTCTTTACATTTCTGTTATAAATTTAAAATTTCAAAGCAACAGGCACTTGTACATTATCTCATCAAACACTACAAAACCAGAAGCCTAAAAGTGCTGTGAAGAGAAGGGAGGGTAAAAAAAGGCAAGGCAGTCTGTCCACAATCCTCATTAAGGGAGCAGACACGGGACTCAAGCCCATCTCCAACTTCAAGGCCCAGAGCCTTTCAGAAAGGAAGAAGGATACACTGGTCTGTGTGAAAGGCTGCCATGGGAATTCTGATGGTACAAAGCTACCGTGGTTCTTCAAACAATTTCTTTTGAGTGTGTAGGGGTGGGGCAGAGACAGAAAGAGACTTTTGGGAGTCATTTTTCTCCCTCTAGCATTTAAGTCCTCAAGGTTAACTCAGGTCATCAGGCTTGGCGGTAAGAGTAATCTCGTTGGGCTGCCACTGTGGTTTTTAATAAGCAACGACATGGTGGACATATGAGTCTTTCATCTGAGCTCTTCCCTTCTGAGACGCTGATGACTACGGTTTGGTCCTTGCCTTGGCCTTTCACCAGTCAGTTCGCAGCCCATGTAAGAAAGAAAGACTAAAGAGAGGAAAAAGGAGGGAGCCAAAAAGATGCTGAAAGAGCCCAAGGGCACAGTGTCAAAGAAGTCAAAGAAATGAGTAACTCAAAAGAAGGATCAGAGGCAGCTAAGCACCCAGAACAGCGAGGATTTGGGTTAAAGTACATCAAATGTGTTTATCGTTCTTACATCTTGGGAATGGAGTACATTAGTGTATAGGCTCAAGTCCCACAACTGTTAACGCTCTTTTCCAAACTTCTACATTTACAACCTAAAAGCAAAAGAAAGAAAAAAAAAGACATATAAAAATAAAAAAAAAAAAAGAAAGAAAGAAAGGACAACAGAAAAAAATTAAGGTGACAATATAAACATAAACAATTACATAACAACCTAGGCTTTTGGGAATGAGAAGCTTTGAATATAAAACCATTTGCTCAACATGCTTTGACAGACACTGTGTCTTCAGTATAGTGTCTTCCTTCTGTTATAAAAATGTCCAAACAACACAAAACAAGTTCCTGCAGAAAGCCTTCTATCATTTGTTTGGCTGTAGAATCCACTCCTAGGTTTTGTTTTTTGTTTTTTTTGTTTTTTTTCCTTTAAGAAGTTTCAAATGATTCCTAAGGGAGGTTATGATAACCCACTGGCTGAAAACATGTAAGCGCCATCCAGCACAGAAGGCACTGAGCTTTATTGGTAGGGATTTATTAATAAGAACTGATACAAAACTGGCAGTTTTGCTCAGCAGGACCACCTGGCCAGGGGTGGCACCTCCTACGATGGGATGGCTTACTTCCTGGATACAGGCTTTAAAATCTAGACCACACAACCTTCTAATAATACAAAAGCCTGACCCTAAAAGAAAAACAAACAAACAAAAAAAACAAAGAATCAAAAAACCAAAACCCATGCATACACCACAAGTTATCTTGACTTGGTTTGTTTATTCCTGGGTGACATTTCCTGAGAAAATAAATTTTTCATTCAGAAAATTAAATCCTTTGGGATTAATGACATAGTCTTGAATTTGACAAAACATTTCTGAAAATAAGACTGGTATCTTTTGATTATAATCATAAAGGTACATGATATAATGATTTAATGTGTTACTTTTATATTTATCAAAAAAGACTAGCTATAATAGAAATCAAGTGCTGGCTAGTCTTGTATTAACTTGACACAAGCTAGAGACATCCAAGAAGAGGGATCCTAAATTTAAAAAAATGCCTTCCATCAGATTGGCCCAGAGGCAAGTCTGTGGGGACATTTTCTTCATTAATATCTGAAGTTCTGAGAGGGGCCATCCCACTGTGGGAGGTGCCACCCCTGGCCAGGCGATCCTGCTGAGCCAGCCATTGGGAGCAAGCTAGTAAGCAGTATTCCTCTGTGGCCTCTACCTCTGTTCCTGCCTCCAGGTTCCTGCTTTGAGTTCCTGCCTTTATGACCCTCTGTGATGGAACTTTGAGTTACTTCTGGTCATGGTATTTTATCACAACAATGAAAAGCTAACTAAGAAAATGGCATTTGAAAAAGGGAGCCACAATAGAATTATGATTATTATTATTGTTATTAGTTTTTGAAACAGGGTTGTATGTAATAAAGGCTGGCCTCTAACTATCTTCCTGCCTCCACTTCTCAAGGGTTGGAGTTATAGGCATATACCCTCCCACCAAGTCTTTGAATTTGTTAAGATTAAAATATTAAATAAATAACATGTGAACAATTCACAGATGCATCTCTGTTGTACCTGTATACAATATGCAAAGAACTCTTACTTATTTGAATTTCTATTGTTTATTAAGTCTGTTACTAAAAGCAATTTTAGTACAAATGGATAATTTTACATATACTATAATCAATAAACATTAAAGCCTTTGGGGGTCACAGCATATATGTGCATATATATATATATATATATATGTTTTTTGTTTCTGTTTTTCAAAACTAAACTTACCAGAGGGGATAATGCTTATCTTCACTTTTGCCAAAGACAACTTCCCGGAGATGTTCATAGGTGACCATCCGACCTCCAGAATACACTGCATAAAACAGACCATAAAAACACAAATTCAATCCTATGTCTAACAAAATGAGAGGATCTGACCTGACCTCGTCAGTCTTTCAATGGAGAAAGTTTTAGTCCTCGTCTGATCTCTCTAGAGTAAAGCCTCCCTTCTGTTTTCTTTAGACCTCTTCATTTCTCAGGACTCAACTCTATACGTTTTTTGGAAAGTTTCTCTTTGGCCTTCTTCTCAGTATCCTGGGCCCACACTGTGTGTTCTAACACAGCAACCATCAACTTCATTAGCAACTAGTTTGTTCTTATCTTCCCTTCAGACATACCCCAGGCCAGTTCTGAGTGTTGATTTTTTTTTCTCTTTTCACTGACATTAATTCACCCAACGTGAGTCCATTTATGAACTTATACACACACAACTTAGCATTTAAGGGTTTCTAAGTTATGGAGTTTGAAGTGAGGTTAGGGATCTATGGTAGAGAAGAGATCTACCGTTGTCTTCTTTTTTCGATTCTGACCATCTTTGGTGGGGGCATGGCCCCCATAGACTCATGTGTTTGAATGTTTAGTCCATAGAGAGTGGCACTATTAGGAGAAGTGGCCTTGTTGGAGTAGGTGTGGTCTTGGTGGAGGAAGTGTGTCACTGTGGAGGTGGGCTTTGAGGTTTTACATGCTCAAGCTAGGCCTATATGGCCTCTGCTGCCTGTGGATCAAGATGTAGCTCTCTCAGCTCCTTCTCCAGCTCCATGGCTGCCTGCATGCCGCCATGATTCTCAACATGATGAGAGTGGACTAAACCTCTGAAACTGTGAGCCAGCTTCAATTAAAGGTTTTCCTTTATAAGAGTGGCCTGGTGTCTCTCCACAGCAATAAAACCCTAACCAAGACAGCCACAGAAAGGGGAGGAGAAACAGAATGAAAATGAACCTCACAAAATAGCTCTATATGCTGATTTTAGCTCAAATAGGCAACTGTGGGGCTTGGTGCACAAAGGCTATTCTCTTTGAAAAAAACACATGTAACTGTACTGGAGAATTCATTGACATTTCTTCCCTTAACAGTTTTAAGCACATGAGAAAGGTCTTAACTGGAGAACAATAAAGTGACTAACACAAATGAAAAGAGGCCCAGAAAAGAAATATTCTCAAAGGTGGAAAGCGGTATCATTAAAATTAATTCCATGGTGCCCATACAAGAGATTTTCTTGATATTTTAGGAAGTTGGACTTGGCATTTCATAAAAAATAAACACAAATTATAAGAACAGTCCAAGTTTCTGTGCATAATCCTGACTCTTTTAAAAATCATATGCTAGCCTACTCATGTGAAGAGCGGAATATTAATTCTAGCAAGCTTGCACATGATTAGAACTGGTGCTGTCTGGGCCAGGGAAACAGCACAGAGGTGGAGGTACAGAAGAGCCACACTTATCCCATCATCTCTTTGGAATCTGTCTACAGGCTGATATGTCAGCTACACCGATTCCTGTGACTGCTGCCTTGGAAGCAGGGTTAGAGGGGTTTTCTCTGTGACACTGACCACTAACAACCCACAGAAATAGTTAGCCTGGGAACAGAGACAAATGTTCACCCATGGTCCATCTATGTCACTACCACCGCTGACATCTAGTGCCACGTCTGGATGAGGCAAGACTTCTTGCCCTCTGTCAGGTCAGCCTACTTGGTCTTTGATGTACAGGGTGAAGATAAATATATTTTAACTTTCAAAGAACATGAAAGTTAACTGAATGTTCCTTTAATTTTCACCATATTTAAGGCTAAGGGAAAATGATATAAATTATCATATAAATAAACAAATCAACATAAATCATTCATGTTCCTCTACCTTGTATCATTAAAGAGCTTACAGGAAAAATTTTCAAGCACACAGCTAAGTAGAAACATTTATAACTTTATATCTGAATTTATTAAGTGGCAACACTCGTTGAATTATCTCAAAGTGTTTCATAGAAATGGTGGCAGTTTATTTTTGTTTTTTTCACGTGTGTTATAGGGTGAGGTTGGTGCGTCGATATGATATGCTCACACGTGTAGAATCATATTTGTGTGTAGGTACAAATGCATGTGCAAAGGTCTGAAGCTGACATCAGTTGTACCTCTGTCATTTCCCACTTCATTTATTGCTCACCATTTCCAGCTAGCCTAGTTGGCCAGCTTGTCCCAAGGATCTCCTGGACAGTTTAAATATTTCCATATGCTATTCTCAAAGTTTAGGACAGTAACTCCTTAATAATAATTGAAAATATTTCCTTCTAATGATTTATTGTATCCATGTATGTGTGTGGGGGGGGAATAATACAATGTTTTTCCTAGATTTTGGATACAGCTGAAGAGGAAAGCAAAGGATACTGAACTCATAACAAACTTACCAGCTGGAATCAAGATAAATACCTACGTGTCTGTAAATGGCGGGTGTCACTCCTTGCCACAACTTTAGAAAGCCTTCCTCCTGGACAATCCCCAGGGCCGTGCGTACCATGCCCCTATAAGGGGCAGATGCCGTTGCGCCATCTCCCAACCTAGCAAGGGCAGCTTCTCCTTGCATCTGAAGTCGGGTTTTTGTAAGATCGAGGGGAAAGGTTGCTAATGAAATAAAAAAGAACAAATGAAGGGAAGGAAAACTCCAAAACACTCCAACAAACAAAACCTCTAAAATCATAGGGTTCATATTCTACCAAGATTTTGAGATTCTGAGGTATGAAAATATAGTGAAATTAGCTAGGGAATCTAAAAAGTACACACTTCCTGACCCATTCCCACATATTCTGATATAGTAGATGGATGATTTACAAAGTACATTCTCATGCCTTCCCAAATCCCAAATCCAAGACTCACTGCCCCAAAGCATCCCCAAATACAAAAAAACAAAAACAAAAACAAAACAAACAAACAAAAAAAGAATCCCACAAAAGTAGGGCAACTCTTGAGCTCTTCTCAATTAAAAAAAATAATAATCTCAAACCCACTTCAATTTTCCCAAAGACAAATGGCTTACAGTTGTCATAGCCTGTTGTGCCTTCCTTGACCACAGGCACTGTCATTTGAGATCTAATACAAATTTAGAACAAATCTGAGGCGGAATTCTCATGATTTCATAAGAATTTCCTTTTCCATGAGAATCAATCACAGCACTGATGTTTTGAGTTAGAGACAGATTATTTTTATATGAGAGCATATATTAGCTACCTAACTCATAATAACTTCAAACACACAATGTCCCTAAAAACTCTAAGAGAAGGGAATTGAGTCAAGCTATGCACATCGCTGACAGTACACAAAAATTTTCAGTGACCACTACCTGGTCTAGAATCCACGAATACCTTTTCTAAGATACGAGAGTGGGGGGAGGCGTTACATATTTTCATTAGGTTTTGAGAAGGTTAGTATTTAACCAATAATTTCTTTAAACAGATGTGTCTTATCTTGCACATACATACCTTAAAAAGTGCTGTACTAACATGTGAAACTAAAATAAAATATGAAGTAGGTGCCTCCATCCATCTGAGTACAAATTCTGCTTCTCAAAACATATTCTTTGGCTTTGGCTATTTCCTCGTTCAGGCTCTCATGCTGAATTCGTGTGTACTTCCCTTCACCAACTAACTTTGATTCTGTAGCTTTTGATTTCTAGTCTTCATATAATTCTCTCCAGCACATGTCACATTTCTGTACAAGCTTCAGGGAGGAATCAAACTGTTAAGGTCTCTAGTCACTCAACCATCTGATTTTAGATGTTTTTAAAAGTTAGCAAATTTTATTTCAGAAAGTCGATTAAAAAATGCTTCATTAGCTTTGAGGGAAGAGAGGCAAATAGAGGGCCAAAGGGCAAGAAAGAAAGTGTCTAAAGGGCAAAACAACAGTGCAGTGTGCTGACTCTGCTAGGTATAAAAGTAAATAACTTCTGCTAGAACAAGATTGAGTAAAATTTACAAATTACTAATGCACCAGAAATGTCCTGTCCTTCCCTTCCTTCCTTAATTCCTTCCTTAATTCCTTCCTTCCTTCCTTCCTTCCTTCCTTCCTTCCTTCCTTCCTTCTTTCCTCCCTCCCTCCTTCCTTCCTTCCTTTCTTTTCTTAATGGACAAGACCACAAATGGTATTCACAACATGCCCTCCCTTGAAAAATACATCATCTGGTCTTGCCATGGCACCATAATCCACTCTATGTGGTGTGCTCGCATTTTGTTTGTTTGTTTGCTTTGACTCAGGTAGGCAGATGAATCTTTTTTTCTATGATTTTACCTATCTATATATCTAGTCATTTATTTATTTATTTTTTGTTTGTTTGTTTTTTGAGATAGGGTTTCTTTGTGTAGCCTTGGATGTCCTGGACTTGCTTTGTAGACCAGGCTGGCCTCAAACTCCCGAGATCCAACTGCCTCTGCCTCCCAAGTGCTGCGATTACAGGCGCGCGCGACCGCGCCTGGTTCTATGATGTTCTTGAAACAAAAACAGCTTCTCTGCAACAGGCAACAGTTGTAAATGCCTTCCTCTGCATGTGCCCCCACCAGCGTGGAATGAGGCCACACAGGGGTCTCTGCGACTGTGCAACCAGGACCCACTTCTGTATCAACTGCAATAAAGTCCCCAATTAAATAGCTGCCCTGCCTTGCATTCACCATTTATAAAATTACTTCTCGGGATTCCTCCTGTAGGTAAACACGGTATAGGCTCAAAGAAGTGATGTGGCTGACTGACTTTAAATAGATGTTCAAGAGGAATGTTTAATAATTGAAGTCCCCCAAGGTGGGACTCCCGCACCCTCCCGCAAACCCTAATCTTAAAGATTCTGAGGCTGCTTAAGACTATAAACCACGAAACAGACGATCCAAGGAAGGATGGGAAAAATTGTGAACAAATAAATGGATTGTGGTTCTAAAAAGGTCATCCTCATGAACGGGGGGGGATGTTTCCTAGAGAGGTATGAGGGCTCATGAAGAGCCCAAGAGTACTCACTCAGGCACAAGGCAACATCCCTGGGGATGGGAAGACAAGGACCCTGGACACCTCCAATCCATGCTCCTCCCGAAGCTGGCCTACTGGGCACCTGACCACATCCTTGCGAGGGCGCAACCTCTGAAGATGCTCCAGCCTGGAGTGGGGCTGCCCGCCCATCCCTCCCCCAGCACGATGCCGCGGCCACTCGCTGGGGAGGCCGAGGCGGGGCGGCCGGTACCTAGCTCGGCCACAGTTGCGGCGCAGCCGGACAGTAGGAACTTGCTCGTCCGGGGCCATCTCTGCGTGAGCGGCAGCAGCGTCTCCTCCTCCTCGGGAACAGACATTCAGCAGCAGGTCAGGACCACTGGGTACCGTTAGTTGCCTGTGCACCTGCCACCCTGCCGGCGCCGCCCCTTTTCAGCCCGAGACAGGTCAGGGAGGGATCACGTGCATCTATTAGGCTCAGCAAAGCCGCCGCCCGCCTAGTCGCTGGACCGGTCCGGCGGCCTCAGGTACTGAAAAACAAAGCGGTACCCAAGAGGCTTCTGGGAAATGTAGTTCTTGGGAACGCAGTGCCTTCTCTGATTGGATGGTGGCTAGGCGCCCCGCTGCAAACTGCTAGCTACAGGAGCTCCATGGCTACAGTGCCTGTCCCCGCCCACCCGTCCCAACCCAGGACAGCTCAGCTCAACTCATTGCTCTTTTTTTTTTTTTTTTTTTTTTTTTTTTTTTTTTTTTTTTTTTTTTTTGGCCTACGGGCCAGAATTTGAAAGCGATGCGAAGGTGGAAGGGAGCCACGATACAAAAATTATATAACAATTGGGGCGGGTCAAAGGAGCTACAGTTGCGCAAGAGAATTAGTTGCGAAAATTTCGGCTCAAAGTTTGAAAAACTGAGTGCATTTTCCTCAGTCGGCAGAGGGGTAGGAAATGCCCCAGGAGAAGGACGTTTTCAAACGTCTGTCTGTTGGTTCTGGAAGATGGGCATTATGGAGCTATTCTCACCAATAGTAATCGCCGTCCTGGGAAGCTGTGTTCTTTTCTTATTCTCTCGGTGGAAGAATTTGCGTGGACCGCCGTGCATCCAGGGATGGATTCCCTGGATTGGAGCTGGATTTGAGTATGGGAAAGCCCCTCTTGAATTTATAGAAAAAGCAAGAATCAAGGTATGTAGCTGTGCCAGGGAGTTTGGAGGGGGAAAGCATTCTCTTTTTAAAATTTTCTTTTGTTAAGCGCAGTGTTGGAACAGTGGACACACACATACTTTCCGGCAATTAAGCCTCTTCTGTTTCTCTACTAATGATCCCCAGCTATGTCCTAAGCAAGGTATCTAGAAATGAAGTGAAGGACAACACAGCTTGTTGGAAGTAGAGATGTCTTTTGACTGTTAGTAAATTCCTTGCAGTCAATTTTTTTTTATTAGCATGCAGATATAAGCTTGTAATATTTGGGGTGGGGAGATAAGAGTTTCTATGACTTTTGGTTTGTGAAAATGAGTAATAAATTTCTACCACAAGTAGAGGTAATGTTCCGGTTTTCTAAAACTTGTTTTACAACAGTTGATCTTTACAGATTCAAGGCTGGCCATATCTACCCCCTACACTAGTTTTATGGGTGAGTCCCTACCTTCCATACACTGGAAGAGATGCAACTATAAGGTTTTTTGTCCTTAAAGCAGCTATTGAATGTTGAGCATGTTAGAAAAGACACTTTTACTGACCTTTTAATTTTTATTCGTATTTCAGCCTCCAAGATCTTACTGTATTTGTGGTTGGGAGGATGGCTTGGTGGATGAAGGGCTTTCTGAAACAAGCATGAGAGCCCAACTTCAGTCCCCAACCCTTACATTTAAGGGGTTGGATGGGCCAAAAGCATGGGGCACCAGAGATGACTCACCTGTTAAGATCTCATACTGCTCCTGCAGAGGACCCACGATCTGTTCCTAGCACCCATGCTGGGTTGGATCACAATCACCTATAACTCTAGCTTCCGGTGATCTGAAGCCTCTGGCCTCCAAGGGCACACGCATATATCTGTGTACAGAGACGTGCACACACATAAACAAAAGGAATCTTAATGGAAAAACAAGGAAGCCAGTGTGGCTAAATGCACCTCAAATTCCAGTGCAGGGGCGGCAGAGTCAGGAGAATGAATGGAGCGCCTTCACCAGTCAGTCTAGTTCAACCACCAAGCTCCAGGTTCAGTGACACAACTTGTCTGGAAAATAAGGTGGAGGGCCGGCAAGATGGCTCACTGGGTAATGGTGCCTGCTTCCACATCTGACGTCTTGAGATAGATCCCCAGAACCCACATGGGGGAAGGGGAAAGGCAACTCGCTCAGGTTGTTCTCAGACCTCTGCATGGGCACTGTGATATGTGTATGCCCATATACATGCAAACAGAATGTATGAATAATATTTTGTTATTTCCTTATCATTAAGTATTCCTGTGTGTGTGTGTGTGTCCACGCAGGAAGAAACACACAAACTTTAACAATTGACACCAGAGCATTTTCCTAATTCACTTCTCCACTACATTTGGTTGGAGCTCATCCCTTCAGCTAGACTGGCTGTCTAGCAAGCCTCTGGGGCCTGCTTGTCTCTGCTCCTCAGTGCTAGAGAGTTAGAGATGTGAGCTTCTATGCCTGGCTTTTCTGTGGGTGCTGTGATTTGAACTTTGATTCTCAAGTCTGCACAGTAAGCACTTTGTCCGCTGAGCCATCTCCAGTCTTCGATGGCTGTGTTTCATCAAATAAGGGTAGGATATTTTACTTAAATCCTGATAGTTGGGCTGTATAGGTTACTGCCAACTGCTTTTCATCGTTTCAACCAATAACTCAATAGATATTCTTATGTGTGTTTGTGTGGGTGTATGTGTGTGTGGGTGTAGAGTTGAACATTTGCAACATGTTTGACTATTTCATTAGGATAAACTCCAAAGATAGATTTGCCTGAGGGGGAATGCACAGTTAAATTGTTTATGACTGTATTGTGTCATTGTATTTCTTTGAAAAAGATGTAATATGTACTTTTAATCTATGTCTTAGCATGTTGATTTGCTGAATATTAAATTCTGGACCATACTGGATACTATAATTATGTGAAACCTTTACTAGTTTGATACATGAAAGATGAAAAGGGATCATTCCTAAAATAATATTTCTTTGTTTCCCACAGCCTACCATGGGCATGCAAGTTTAGTAATTTTTAAGGAATGTTTGACAAGCTTATCTCAGATCAAATATGTGTGAGGGCTCTGTAGTTTTCTAGGTTAAATGAAAAAATAAGAGGCAACTATTATGTTATGTGACACAGTGCATGTGTGCATGAGAGAGAGAGAGAGAGAGAGAGAGAGAGAGGTGTCTTTCTCTTGTACTATGGCTCCTTTGTTGGATGTTTGAATCCTAGAAGGTAATTTTAAGACTCACTCCTTAACCAACACAAACAAATGAAACACAGAAGGAAAAACAAACCGAGCCAAGGATTTCTGCTTCTTTGTTTTATACAGGTTCTTACTGTTCACATGGTAGCCTAGCTGGCCTTGAACTTAGAGTCCCCATGCCTGAGGACTCAGCCTTCTGGGAACAGGGATTCTGGTGTGCAGGACCACACCTTGTTCCCAGTCAGCCTTCCCAGGCTACTTTCACATCAGTTGCTTTCTCAGGCCAGTCAAGAAAAACTCCACTGTGGATGTACAAAACTTTTTACAGCCTCTTTGCATGCTTGTGCTATCATAAGTCTTAGCATTAAAAGGAAATTTTGGAAGAGGATGTGAGCTGCCTTTTGACAGTATCTGCAGTCAGTCCTAATTAGGCACTTTGATGGGCAATTGCATTTATCGGGGAAACATATGGCTTGTTGGACCTTCAAGAAAGGACTGCCAGAAATCCATGGTGAGCATCCCTTCAGGTCCCTGAAGAAGACAGAGAAAACTACTGCAAAAGTCTTCCCTGTAGTTTAATTTAATCTTTGAATGGATTAGGTATTAATATTATTCAACATTTTAAAATATTAGCTCTTAGGAAAGGCTTAGAAGATGGCTCAGTAAAGTAAAGTGCCAGATGTGCAGACATGAGAACCTGGCACATACCTGTGATCCTAGGTGGAGGCCAGATGTGCAGACATGAGAACCTGGCACAAACCTGTGATCTCAGGTGGAGGAAAGCAGATCACTGGGGTTTGGCGGCCAGTCCCTGAGTCCGAGGTTCAGGAAGAGAGACTGTCTCAAGAAATCAGATGAGAGCCAAGGAGGAAAACACTACTGTTGACCTCTGGCCTCTACTTGTGTGCCACGGAGCAGCCCAGTCAGGCTCCCTGCGTCCGCGGCAAAATCAGAGGTTTGGGTGTCAGGAAGGGCACAGTTTCAGGCGAATGACAGTCACAGACGACACCGAGATGGCTTTGACCCTGCTGTAATTTTACTGAAGTCAGGCTAATAATTTTATAGTAATTACATAAGGAAACACCTTAAAGTTGGCATATTTCCCAGAACACTTAGATTTTTACCAAGAATACAAAGTTTACATTTTAACTCAAAAATGTAGTCAAACATAAAGCAGTGCCCACAAGAAATCTTGGCCTGAGAACTTTTTGATCAAAGCAAACAAAGGAAAAGAAACCTCAAACTGCAGTTTCATTATTGCTAACTAATGAAGAGGCAAGTCAGGAGCTAAGTCAGATGGCTGCCAAAATCTTTCTCTGTATCAAAATCTAAATACACCTTTGTTAACCATCCTCCCATATGTCTTGCTAAAGATTTACGATCCTCCCTAGAAACAAGACGCTCAAGGGGGGCAAGCTCGAGCCAGCTGTACTTCTCATGCTATTTTTTCCTAAGAAGGAGCCCATTATTTTTTCACTATTCTTACAATGCTTTTAATACTAAATCTAATTCATTACCTCTCTTAAAACTACTTTTCTTCCGCTCTATTCTTGTTAAAGCTTTTGGTAATCTATCAAAAATATATTTCCTTGAATAGTTAATTGTGCTGTTTCAGGAATCATAGAGAAAGATAAAAAAAAAAAAACTCATTAATCCAGCTCCACAACCGCAACCGAAAAAGCGTAGAGACTCTAGAATGGGTCTTTTTAACTTAGGTGGTCGGGGAGACCTGCCATTGACCTCCAGGGAGCGAATTTCCGAAGAAAGCGTGTCTCCCACCCTGTAGCACAATCTATTGATATGCTACACTGGAGACACTGGATTGGGTGTGGCACTTGTGCACAGCTCTACACACATGTACACACAAGCATGTAGACACAACTGTAGAGAAAAATGCTTTTGAGTCTGTCTCCACTCCAACTAAA